AATAGTACCTCCTCTCTTGTCTCATCCACACACCCACCTTCCTCAAAAACAAAAAACAAAGAAAAACCCAAACTCCCACCACCACCCCCCCCAAAAAAAATGAGAGCCAGGAACTTAGTAGCAGAAGCTACAGCCTCCTGCATCTCATCAACCTAAAACTAAATCTTAAACTTCAACCCAGTAAATGTGTCTTCATTGCCTATAAAGAACTAATTGTATCACACACTAAAAACAGAGTAGGGAAAAGTTTACAAATTCCTTGTTATTACCATGGTGTTTAGGTCATATCTTTAAATTTTAGGATGACTTGTAAATAATTGTTAGTTTTTCTTCAAATGCACATTTCTTTCTACTTTTATAAAGAAAATCTATCTCTAGCCCCTGCTGTGAAGACTTGTGACCAATCTATTCCAACAGTTAAAAATTAATCAGGGAACAAATGTTTATAACTGAGACTTTGCATATGACATAAACACACAATGTTATCACATTTAATGATTCTTATTTTTAAATAAGTGATGTTCACTTTAATCACCTGTGAATGGAAAGGTTTAAAATCAAATGGCTACATTAAAGATGAACATAAAATTCTAGTTAACTTTGTAAAAAACTAATGTGTTTATAATTTAAGTAACTTACTACTAACAGCCACATTCGAAGTTGCAGTAAACTTTATCTATTTTTATAAACATGTTTTCTTTCTGCTGCTATTGTTCGCTCCATCAAAGTAAGGGGCTATCTGGACTCATTTCAAATGTTCTTATATTACATGTTACTCTAAGGAAACCTTTTTCCAGATAAGTTGTAAAGAACATGTACTTTTTAATGGCAGGTATTTTATCATCTCTAGCCATTTAGATTATAGGTGTGGGATCCTGTTTTATATGGCACCCTGCTACTGTGGAACGTTTTTTTTAGCTGGTTGAGTTAGAAAGCCTTTGCCAAACAAAACAGAAGGAGGGAAACTGTAAAAAAGCTTTAAAATGCTAAAAAAAGAAATAAGTGAACAAGCAGCAATCTAAACATAAACTAAAGGACTATTCCCATGACCTATTTTTGAGGGAAAAAATAGAAAAAGATACAAAGAATTAACAGAATACCAATTTAGAGACACATACGTTATCTTTAGAAAAAGTAAAAACTACTTCGGTCAATACATATGTAAGCTGTCGTAATAAAATTCTGTTCCAAATCCCAGAAAATATTTTAAGTATTTTAAGTTAGACAAAGGTGACATTGTAAGATTTTTTTCTAAAATGAGCGAGAATAATATACAATTTCAAAAGAGAAATTAAAATGCTCCTTCCAGATAAGCTCACTGAAATCGAAGAAGGATCTCAACCCAGTATCTTTCTTGGATTCAAGCACACTTCTCTTTTGCAAAACACATGATTTATTTAAACCACTGTTTCTGGTGTTTAAAGTGCATGTAACCAGATGAGTATGAAAGTGAAATATATGTAACATATTCTTTACCATTTGAAGGGTAGGGTATCTTTAATTATTCAGGTTGAGCTCAATCCAATATTTAAACCACACACAAACTTTAATCTTTAGAGAAAGGCTGAGTACCAAAACGAAGGCAGTTAACTTGTGTGGAGCACAGGATCAGCTGGTCAGTTCATCTGTCAGTCAGGTACTAACTTAAATAACACTACTGAGCCCCAGTCAGGAGCCAGCAGTTCTGGACTCTGGGCGTTCACACACACGGACTATTCACGTGCCTCACAATCCCCAACCCTGTCCCACTGCAGGCGTCACTGCTAGGATTTCCAAGGTTCAGAGAGGTTAAGTCACTTTCTCAAGCTCAAGGCAGAATGTAGACAGGAACACAGTTCTAGGAACACTTCTCACCACAGCTGTCCTCAAAAACGAGGTGGGGGAATTCGTTCACTCATTCGATAATTCTTTGAGCCTAGGACAAGTTCGCTAAATCCCAATAGGTTAAGTCCTGGATTCAACTCAGGAACAAGCCCAGAATAAACCATATCATTTTACAATCCCATCACATGTATCTACTTAATGTGAAATCAGGAGGCATTTTCCAGTTACTCACAAAAGGACTGTCTTCCCTTTTCTTTTGTCCATTTTTTCTTTTAACTAGCTGTGTCCATTTTTCCTCTGAACTAGCTGCACAAGGAGAAGGATGGCTTTCTAGAAAACATTCCAGTCTCATCCTTCTAAATGTCACTGGGTGTGTCCTAAATCAGTCTGAGGAATAATCTATCAATCAACTTCCACTATTGTATGATACTAGAATGTGGTCATGAGCACCACATAGGAAGAAGAATACTCTATAGGCAGCTTTATAAAAGTATTGGGAAATAAAAGAATCTCGAAGAGGGCTAGCAACATTTAGTGTCTGAAATATAACTTTGGTTGGTGAGTATTCAAGATCTGTGCTCTTTCCTAACTCTAATTCTAAAGTTATACCAGGCTATCCAAGTTTTCCCCAACAGTAATCAAGTATGTGAAAGGAGAAAAGACTAAATCAAACACAGAGATAACTTCATGAAGACTTAAAGATGATAAAAAGGTCTCACACTCCCATAAAATTAATGGTGGCTAGTGAAATAATAATAGCTAGCATTTTGCAAAATGACAATCTCAAGGAAACGTGTCTAATTTAATCAAGCTATTTGTGTTTTCCTAAGGAAAATATTTGTGGTTTTCATTACACAGGACCAAATACATGAACAAAAGTAAGAGTCAACTGCCCATACCAGAGAATTGAAAGTAATATGTCATTCTTTCTATTCTTTCTGGCTGATTGATTCATTATTTATTTCACAGTTATTTATTGAAAACCTACTTACTATGCACCAAGCACTGGGGATACAGTCAGGAGCACGATAGACCAGGTCACTACCTTCACAACACATATGGTCTAGGTAGCAGATGATCAGAAAATATTTATAATAATAATACATATATAATTATAAACAATAACAATGGATGAAAATATTACTGTTTCTTTTGAGAATAAATAAAAGTAACCCTTTCTGAAAAGGGGCATGTTACTAATACTATTAATCCTATTGTGGCTTCTGCTGCCTCAAATGCATTGCAATTAAAAAGTCTTTAATGTTTAAGCCCTTTTCACATCATCAAGTTACAACTGCAGAGAAATGAAGAAATTGAGATGTATATAAGCAAGCAGAGATAAAGGGCTACATAGATAAAAAAGGAAGGACATGAGAACAGGGAACAAGAGGCAGACTGGTTTAGCAGGAGCTTCAGTAAATTAGGTAAAAGGGTTAAAGCTGAAAAAGCAAAAAGGGGCCACATATAGAATGCCTTGAATACCAGAGCAAAGTTTCCAGGCTTTTTCGATGGGGAGAAAGGAATTATTAAAGAAGTTAGAATGTGACTTTGTCATGGTTGGTACTTATGGAAGATTATTTTAAAAAGCAAACTATAAAGAAAGGAGAAACCGTGTATAGAAATATCATTAAAGGGACTACCACAATAATTAGTTACTGAGTGTCTGAACTGCTAATATATCCATGGGATTGAAAAAAAGAGAGAAGCATAGGCTATACTGAGGAAGAAGACATTTCATGAGTCGGTAACCATTACAGACTGAATGTTTTTATCCCCTCAAAATTTATCTGTTGAATTCCTAATGTGTAATGTGATGGTATTAAGACAGTAAAAGCTTGCTTCCCATATCTACTTTTTATATGAAGATACAATGAGAAGATGGCCATCTGCAAACCAGGAAGTGGGTCCTCACCAGATACCAGATCTGCTGGTGCCTTGACCTTGGACTTCCCTGCCTCAAGAACTGTGAGAAATAAATCTCTGCTGTTTAAGGCACCCAGTCTATGGTATTCTGTTATGATAGCCCTAGCTGACTAAGACAATAATTTGGATACAGAAGAGAGCCCTTTGAGGATTCAAGTCCAAGACTGTAAAGGGAGCATCAGAGCTATTGGCATAAAGCAGGACGGACAATAATGAGTTTGATTTTAACCCATGAGTCTGAGGTACAGGTGGCACATTCAACTGAAGATTATCAGGGAGGGCAGAACTAGAAATATAGATTTATCATTGTCATAGAAGCGACTGTTGATGTTGAAAGGATTGCCAAAGAAGAGAACATGGGCAGAGAAAAGCACTTGCAAACAACATCTTGTGAACCTTAAAATTAACAGTCATAAAACGATATCAGAGATGATAGAAAAAGAGCAATTTGTGAAGTAACTAAATCAAGTGAATAGAGAACAATGAAAACCAATGGAATGAGATAAAGAGTAATCAGAAAAATTAAATGCTGGGGATAGATTGAGGGATCCAACGTCTGAGAACAAGTCCTGGATCAGGAAGGGAAACTGTTTTACTGATTACTAAATACTAATCATGTTTCAAAGACCAGAGTCAAGTCTCAGCAGTGATGACTGCTGCCACAGGCCTGAAAAGCTCCAGATCTTGTCATCTTTCAAGGGAAAATTCCAGATGACTCTCTTTGCCTCATCACTGATATCTTTGATTCCTTATCCCTCTAGCAAATGTAAGTGCTAAAGGAGGCAAAGTAAAGAGAATGTGTATCTACACTTCTCCCTCTTTAATATGGGATTCTGTGGGGAAGGTATCAGACCACTTATTGTCACTTCCTTCCAAACAGACGAAAAGACTAATGCCCTTGGAGATGTTCAGATTACTCAGAAAGTCAGTCATAAAATGGTAAAGGGAGGGCTGGCCAGTAAATTGCTATTTTAGAGCCTTTTCTTTGACTCATTATATTGGACCATATATTCATACAGGTTTAGTATAGAGTTCCAAGTAACTTCTTGGGACTCAACTGATATAAGATATTTCATCAAAGGGTTTTTTTAAAAATCATATCTCAGTGTATGGGCTCATATTTTACAAAAATATGGAAAATTAGCAATTACATCAGGTTAATATCATAATGTATATCAAAGTATTTACTAAATAATTTTTGACAATGTTGAACTAAGGATCTAATTAAGGAATTGTGGATTTATCATACATACCTGTGGTACCCATCTGGAAGACACAAAGCTAGTCACTTCTATTACAGACAAGCCAGTTTGGGAAAGCTGATTGATAAATTCAATTTTTATATCTGTAGGAACTATAACCTATAAAAATGAAAAAATTAATTTTATAAGTAAATTGTACAGGGTTTTTTGAAGCATAAACATAAAATTACTTCCCAAAAAACAAATATTTTTTATGATTTATAAATTCAAGTAGCAATTGAGAACAAATATAATCACATAACATATGAAACCCATGTAAGTTTTTAAAATCTTAAGAAATATTAATACTTAGGCTTAGCATTTGAAATAAACTCTGTAAAACTAATAGAAAACTACCTTTTCATTCTGCAATCCATCTCTAGGTCCAACTTCTACTATTTTAACATATTCAGGGAGTCCAGATAACCGGGATGATTCCTGAAATGCAAAATGCAAGAACAAGAAAACCAGATAATTTTAGATTGCCACATTTGCTTATTTGAAAAGTTAAACAACTACACTTTGTTAAATTCTCACCCCAGAAAGCTAAAAAAGTGCGAAATCAAAACAATGATATAATCCAAATACCCTATTTGTATTATTTGCAACATGAAGTCATTTTTTATTATAACTGAGTGATATTAAGTCTAGATACGATTGAAATTCAAAAGATTAATTTCTAAACTATAACTGTGAAATAGTTGATCTACCCAGGACCTAAACAGCAGATATGCTGGGTAATTTTGCATGTTATAATAAAGTTACCACCTGAACACTGCCCCCTAAAGGATATACCCCTAGTAGGACCTAAACCTCAGTATTCCACTGGCAACAGCCTTTCTCCAACCAAATGTAACAAACACCTTGATCTACTTTTTGCCTGAATCTCAGATGATAAACAGTCTGGATTCTGGAACCTCTGTCCCCAGACTAGATACTATTAATCTAGTTCAGAAGGTACATTTGCCTTGTAAACATGCCTAGTTAGAAGGGTGCTATTTAAAATAGAAAAAATAGGAATAGCCTTTCTAAACTTAATATTGCAATTAAAGTCAGAAGTAGGCTATATCTTTTCAGACTATGCTAGCATAATATCTTGGTACCTCTGAGCCAAGTTAAGTGTGGATAACCCATCATCAAATTCTTTAAATGAATAGTTGATGAAGTCAGTCCAGGTCCAAAGGATCTCTACTTCAAAATTTTTTGTTTTGTCTTTCATTAGGAATGATGAATTCAAGTTGCCCAATTCATAGTCTCATTCTGTCCTTGTAACAGTCATTAGCATACACCAGTAAAGTGGCTATTTTGGAAGCAGAATCCAGTTCACGTCTATGGTACAGAAAAATGCTCAACGGTCATTTTAGGATCCAAAGCTGTTATTGGCTTTATCAGCATTCTATGCTAACTCAGGGAAAGAACCCAGATGGCATCTCTTACAATATTTACAGACCCCTCTACACAGTTTCCATAAAATTAGGCAATTCAATAGGCAAAAAATTAACCTAGAAGGAAAAGAATGGTCATTTCTGCATCTTCTGTTGCACATTGTGATGCAGTTAACTTGGGAGGATGCAGAGCTGAGAGGGGAGCTCTGGAGTTCCTCAGCTTTAGGTTCCATTTTGGATAGCAATCATGACATCATGCCTAGTATACAGAGCGGCTGTAATTTAAATCATGCAACAACAGAAAGGTAGGCATGGGAAAAGCCCACTCCTCTTTCTTATTACCTCCAGTCCTAAGAGGGTAGAAATGAAACAGAAACAAAAACAAAACAAGGCAATCTTAAGCCATGTGGTGTCCTTATCATTGATTGTTTCCTGAAATTGCATCTTCAACAAAAATTAGCTTGAAGCATACATGGAGGAAGAGTACTTCTTTATTAAATGGCAATATATATTTTTAAAAAGTCCATAGTGTTGTTTAAGGTGAAAAAAATACGCTGAGTACCATTAAAGAGCTAGGCACCTTCCTTTGCATCAGTGTGTTGTAGCTGGCATAATTAACAAGAAATCTGAAGAAATTAAACTAATGTTATAGATCATTAACAATTATGACCATTTCAATCAAAGCAGAATATGTGCTCACATGATATTATTTTAGATTCTTGAATCTAATGCTACTATTTAGTCTTTCTAGACAATTTGAGTTAACCGAGTGACAGAAGAAATTCACTAATACCATCAATAAGTAATTATTGAGCACAGTCTATGCATCATGAGTTGTGTTGGGCGCTGGGGATATGCCGAAATATAATAGAACCAGTAGGAAACGGTTCAGTTAGATATAAGAGATAAGAGAAAAGGGAAGGAGAAACATGTGGTGAGGAATATCCGAGAAGAAGCACGTTCTGGTGGAGAGATAATGAGTTTAGTTTTGAATCATTGCATTCTATGTACTTGTAAGACATTTATGTGGATTTGCCCACTAGCCATTGTTTGTGCACATCTAACCTCCTTAGAAAAAGTGAATACAGAGAGAGTAATGTCTAGGAAGAGAATAAAGATCACTAAGAGAGGGCTTTCATATCACACATAGTCAACAAGTATGAAAGGTGACCCACTGGAAGATTAGAAACTGGAGCAGGACCAGGTGACAGATATACTTGCCATCAGTTGCCTTTCAGGAACCGCACTTGGGAAACCGCTGCACTTCGTAAGGGGCGGTAGGCATGCCTGCGCTTGGCTTTAGAGTGAGATATTATTTCTCTTTCCAAGGTTGTTTGCTACACAAACATTCTTGAAAAGATATTTCCAAAGAAAGGCAATCAGTGTCTTGCTAGTAAGACATGGAGACATGCAAGAGACCCATGAAGAATTGTTTCCCAACGCTATTATTACTTCCATTAATATCCAATTATTTTCCTCAAACAAAATTCTTACTCATTATCCAAGATTTAATTTGCCATCTACTCAAAAAAAAAGAGTTTTCTGACCTCCCCAGATAGAATTAAGTAATTTAATTTCTATATTCCCATAGCACTTTGTAGAGACCTATTTTAAAATATACCTGCGAATACTTCTCTACCTATTATCAAAATGTACACATACTAAGCACTTGACTAATGTTTGCTAAATAAATAAACTGATGAATGAATAAGTGAATGAATGAATTCAATATCTAAAATTTAAAATAAAGTTGACCTTTCATTTAGCTACCACATGCTAGCTAATATGATATTATTACAGATATTCAGTATACAAAGTGAACCATTAAAATAAAAATTCCTTCCCATAACTGGCTTACTTTTTAGTGGTACAGGAATCTGGAAGCTAGCGTGGAGTGGGGGCAGAGATGGATGCTTTTCTTACACATTGAACACACAAGACTTAATGAATGATGTGTAAGTTACAGGGAATTGAATTAAAAAAAAAAGTAGTCCACAGAAGTTAGCAACATATTCTTTAAACAGGCCTATAGTCTAAATTTATTTTTATAGCATTAAAAACCCTATGTCACAGAGCTCAGTGTATCCTGTTTAATGTGCAGTATAGTGTATAATATTAGTGAAAAACAAAAGATGCATTATCCAGAGTGAGTGCTTCAAAAAGCTGTTTTGTGGCTGAGGGTATGCCCACATTTGGCATCAGATTTCTAATGGTTCGCTTTCATAGAGCAATAACAAAAGAAACACTATCTTGCATTTATATGTTGCTTTACTTTTCCAAAGAACTTTTCTATCTCGATTTCGTCTGTGAAGCTACCCTGTGAGGTAGGCAGAACTGAGAGATTAAATGACTTCCTAAGTTTACCCATCTAAATTCCCTAGCTCCTGTTCTACTTTTCTTTAGAATAAGATTAAATATATCACCAGCTATTGAGTTTTGGTTGAAAAACATAATAGTGAACCATTCTTTTATGCAAAACATAAGGGATATGCTTTCCTAACATTTTTCAATCATACATAAAATTTAATATTTTGATGAGGATTTTTCTGAAATCTTTAGTGCATGTGTGTGTATGTGTGTGCCTGTGTGTGTAATATATACATTTCCCAGCAATAATAATAGGTGACTTCTATATATACAATCAACCCACCTGATGGTGATAGATATGATTGTTTATTATTCACCGTACAAGTACTGCTTTTTTCCCTAGGAAAATAACACCATCCATAGTAGAAACGTCTAGACAGATTTGTGTATGTTCCATTTACTTCATTTCTTGGGGGGTAATTTTTGTGTAAATAAAGTCTTTATGAATATTAAAATATCCTATTTCATAGAAAGTATTCCCAAGGAGAACAGTTATGATCGCCAAAAAAATATTCCCCTACACAGATGAGAAGTCCAAATTAGGAAATTGTGTGACTTTCTTTTGAAATTAAATTAAACTTTTTAAGGGAGTATTACGGATCAGCTTTTCCAAAAGAATCTATTTTTGTTGTCTCATTTGAAATATGCACATGGTGCATTTTGTGCTAATTTTAAACTCACTACATTCTATTTACTATTTCTTAGATATTAATTTCTCCCTCTTTTTCCTTTTTTTTGGACACAGGCTCTCATTCCATTGCCCAAGCTGAACTGCAGTGGTGTGATCTCACTGAGCTCACTAAAGCCTCCAACTCCTGAGCACAGGTGATCCTCCTGCCTCAGCCTCCCAAACATAATCAGTAATATATACACCACCATCACTGACATAGCAGATATCCACAGGAACCTTGGTCCTCCAGAGCAAACAAAAGATGTTTCTCTCCCTGAGTGTCTCTCTAGAATGAAGGGCTAAATCAACAAAGCTGGTATTTGAAACCTTTCTTCTAGAATATCCATGTGTCAAAGTTGATTCACAGGCGATCTTTGGCAATGTAATAAGAACTTATTTGTAACCAAGTAAAAGTAAATCTGTAATGTACTATTATGTCATCTAAGACTCCATGAACAATATATCTTAATTTACTAAATCAAAAGGTAAAGGAAAGTATCCTCTTTCTTTTTAGCAATTTTTGGACAGCCAGAAGAAAAGTGGAGAGTGCGCAGTGCTTTGTTTCCAACAGCCTTCAGCAAAAGTATTAACAGACATTGAAACAAGCTCTAAAAATGTGAACACCCTCTATGTGGATGTATACTAATATTTGCTCTTGGCACTTGATGAAAAATCAGTGCAGGGTGTCAGTATTAATATATAACATGACTAAATATGAATCCCTTCTAGAAGTACACAAATTTTACGAACACTTTGGTAAATCAAGAGTGGTTACAAAAAAGCATAAGAAAATTAAAAAAGAGGCATCTGGTACACATAAGAGACTGAAATGTAGTAGAATGACAGACAATAAAAGGTCATCTAAAACTATCTATTAAAGTTTTTTTAAAATGAAATTTGTAGCACCTGCACCATATAAGTTCACTTTCCAGTTAAATAAATTTTATTTGTAAAAAATGGTTTAATCAATAAATGCATGCATTTAATATTCATCAGATAATTATTGTTTTAATATA